AAAGTCTACTGGCTAGATAACATTGCAAAATTTCTGGACACCCCAGACCTGCATCTTGCCTTGACCTAGCCAAATTTTTATTTTAACCCTTGCTTTCTTACCACCCCATACAAAATTACAGAAGGTTGAATGTAGTAAAGATAATCAGTCTTCTGGGAAGTTGAGAGGGATCATTCTCCTTAAATACAGCCATTTTGAATATATGCTTTTAGGATATTGATTCTACCTGACCAAGAAAAACCCAATCCCTTCCAGTCCCTTATATTTTAATTGGTTTGTTTTAATAAGGGTAAGAAGTTGGCTTCTATTAGATCTTTTATATCTGAGGTTATGGTTATGCCCAAATAATTTAGCCTGTCCTTATATTCAGGGAGCCCGATATTTTGTACACGAAAGTTAGTTTATTGTTCATATTTTTAGCGACAGAAATTGATTTCTCTAGGTTTTTATATCCTGATACTTTTGAGTATTTATTTATCTCCTTCATTAATTCTGGGGGCCAATATTTTTGGTTCTTCTAATGTTAATAAGATGTTGTCTGCATAGATATATAATTTTGTTTGTCCTAACGAGTTTGTGAAACCTTCCTTTTTTGTTTTGTCTTATTAATATCGCTAGAGGTTCTAACACCATTATGTACAGTACATGAGAAAGAGGGCACCCTTGTCTTGTCCTATTTTTAATATTGAAGTTTTGTGATGTAAATCCTGACCCTGTGACCTTTGCTGATGGAGAGTTATAGAGAGCGGATATAGCTTGTTGTATTAAACCAGTAATTCCAAATTGTTTTAAGGTAGCAAACATGAAACCCCAACCAACCCTGTCAAACGCTTTCTCTGCATCTATTGACAGTAACATTAGAGGGGTTTCATTGTTATCTGTTTCTTCTAATATGTTTATTAATTTTCTGAGATTGCTGATTGAGGACCTCTCTGGTATGAATCATACTTGATCATTGTTGATTAATTGTGGAATAACTATTTTAAATCTTCCCGCAAGAATACAAGATAGAATTTTAATATCAGCATTGATTAGCAATATAGATCTATAATTGCCAATCAATTCCGGATCTTTATCTGCTTTTGGGATAGGGACAATATTCGCTCTCAACAACTCTCCAGGATAGCCTCCTATTCTCATTATATAGTTAAAGATATTAGAAAGGTCTCCTTTTAGTTGATCTTACATTAGTTTATAAAATGTATTTGTAAAGCTGCCTGGGACTGGAGTAGTCTTTATTTTAAGCATGTTTATTGATTCACTAACCTCTACTTCTGTTATTGTCTGATTTATCAGTTTTAATTGGTCGGGTAGTATTTTTGGCATATGTATGTTTTGGAAAAAATTCTCAATCTTTTTTTCCCTGCTGTATATTTCTTCTGGTAGGTTATATTGATCTTGATAATATCTTTCAAACACTTTTCTTATTTTTTTCCTGGGGCCATTAGATAGGTTTCTTTATCCTTTATTTTAAATATCACTCTTTTGTGTTTCTCTTTTTTTCTGTTTGTGAGTCATTAGTGCTTCTGGCTTATTGCCCTTTAGATACCACTTGGATTGTAATAATTCTAATTATTCTAACTGTTTAGCTGCATTGTTCATTTACAGGTTGTTTATCTGTTTCTACAATCATCCTTGCTATTTGTGTAGAGGGTGTTATTTTGTGGAGATGAGCACAAGGAGAGATACTTCTACTTTGTTGTCCCTGAGGAAGTTCAGTAATTAAACGAAACGCGTAGGGCTGTAGTTCTTATGTTGTTCAGAGTTTTTTTTTTTAAATGATATTTTAGATTGTTTTATTCCTGGCACTACCAGAAGGACCTCACTTTTCTACAATATCTTGGAGGGAGTTCCTGCTTCCTATACTGAGCTACTTCTTGGTGATATGCCCATGAATTGATTTTATCATGTAAGTGCAATGTATATTAAAAGGTTTATTTTGCCATAGAAACTCTGCACCATTATCTTTTTATTTCTCTCCCACATGCTGTGATATTGATACGAAGATATTTTACACTATACTGATAAGCCTTCAATCAATTGGGGTTTGTGAGTGCACCTTTATTCGGCAATTTTGTCCTATGTTTTCTCACTTTTGCATTGTAGCAACCGGTTTTCTGGTATTGTGTATTATATGTTATTTTGTTCTGCCTTTTATAATCACTTAGTTTTATATATAGTTTGAAAAGAAGCGCTGTTGCTTTTTAATTTGTGTTGGCTATGATTTTTTATCATGTGACTTCTAACTATGCTTTATAAGCGCACCAGACTGTGATATCCGGTGTGCCTTTGTTTTTATTTTCTAAAAAGAAGAGATTGGTTATTCTGTTAATCTCTTCAACATTATTCTTTTTGTGCAATATATAGTCTTTTAGGCACCAATCTTTGCGGAAAGTATCAAAGGTATCTTTATATTCTAACATAATAGGGCTATGATGTGACCATGCTATGTCCTCTATCTCTATTCTTTTAACTAGATATAGCATGGTCACATTTCCCAAAATAAGGTCAATTCTGGAATAAGAGTTAAATGTTCTAGAATAGCACGTATAATCTAGGTCAGTGGGGTGAAATGTTCTCCATATGTCTCTAAAATTTCCATTATTCAATACATTTTTCATTCTTTTCTCACTTGCCTTCCTACTCTTTCGGTCATTCTGGCTCTCTCTATGTTTCAGAGGGTCAACTACGCAATTGAAGTCCCCCATAATTAGTACCAACCCTTGCTTAATTTGCTCTATTTTCTTAAAAACCTTTGTAATAAAGTTTATTGTGGATTTGTTTGGTGCGTAAATGTTGGCTAGTGTGAATAGCTTATTGTTTATTTCACATACTAAAATAATGCATTGGCCTTCTGGGTCTAGTTCTTCATCTTTAATATTTAAGGAACATTTTTTGCAAACATGAATGCCACACCTGTTTTTTTTGGTTTTTTTCTCAAAGCTGCACTTTGTCAGGAACCAGGAACCAGACAGAGACAGATCTAGATGCAAAAACACCTTTATTTAATAAACAACAAAGAAATCACCAAAAGCAAAGTCCAGGAGGCAAGCAGGGGTCAGTCACCAGAGCGGGTAGTCAGACGAGCCAGGATCAGGAGCACGGAGGTCAGCGGAGTCAGGAACAAGGCCAGAGTCAGGAACCAGGAGAAAACAGGAAACACAGGAACAAGGAGACTTCTGGGGGACAGGAAACCACGCAAGGGCAAGGAGGTTCTGGGATTTGCTGCTTAAATAGGCTGAACTGATTAGCAGCAGGGTTGATTATTATTCTCAGGTGAGTAACCTTGGCAACATGCTGAAGGAGCTGATAGTTAATTACAGCTGAAACCTCAGACACTGAAAAAGGAAGGGTGGCTGTTTAAAACAGCAAAGAAACCCTGACAGTACCTCCCCCTCAACGACTCCCCCCATCTCTGCTGGTGGGTCCGGGCTTCATGGGGAAGTGGGCATGATAGGAACGAAGGAGGGATGGTGCATGGACATCAGAGGTTGGAACCCAGGAGCATTCCTCTGGACCGTACCCTTTCCAGTGCACCAAGTATTGGATCTGTCCTCTGAAGACTCGTGAGTCAATGATGCTGCGTATTTCATATTCCTCATGATTGTCAACCGGAACAGGACGTGGATGTGGTACTGAGGTGGTGTAACGATTACATACCAATGGTTTCAAGAGGGAAACATGGAATACATTAGAGATGCGCATGTTAGCAGGAAGGTCAAGTGCGTAAGCTACAGGGTTAACCCTTCGAAGTATACGAAATGGCCCAACGTATCGGGGTGCCAGTTTTTGTGAGGGAACACGGAGCCGTAGGTTGCTAGAAGACAGCCAGACCCTCTCTCCGACTTGATAGGTAGGTGCAGGAAGGCGTCTGCGGTCGGCCTGGAGTTTGTAGTTCTGCATTGCGCGTTGCAAAGAGTTATGAACCTGCACCCAAGTGGAACGGAGTTCCCTGAGATGCTCCTCCAATGCCGGTATCCCTTGTGGCATGAACGTATCAGGCAATATGGACGGTTGAAAGCCATAGTTCGCCAAGAACGGGGATAGCCGGGAAGAGGCATTAATCGCACTATTGTGGGCAAACTCCGCCCAGGGTAGCAGATCAGACCAGTTGTTCTGGTGGTCAGAAATGTAGCAACGCAGAAACTGTTCCAGTGTTTGGTTAGTTCGTTCCGCGGCACCATTGGATTGCGGGTGGTAGGCAGAGGAGAAGGAAAGCTGAATTCCCATTTGTGTACAAAAAGCTCTCCAAAATCTGGACACAAACTGGCTACCCCTATCTGAGATTATCACTTTGGGTAACCCATGCAAACGAAAGACCTCCCGAGCAAAAATTGTTGCAAGTTCCTGAGAAGTTGGTAGTTTTTTCAAGGGAATGCAATGCGACATCTTTGAGAATCGATCAACAACCATGAGAACTACTGTATTGCCACGGGAGACCGGAAGATCTACGATAAAATCCATGGACAAGTGGGTCCAGGGTCGTTCACCATTAGGTATGGTTTGCAGGAGACCCACTGGAGGGTGTCGTGGGGTTTTATTTTGGGCGCATACAGGACAGGCAGCTACAAAAGCAGTGACATCCGAACGGAGACTAGGCCACCAAAATTGCCGAGAGACGGACCAGATTAATTGGTTTTTGCCTGGATGTCCAGCTGCTTTGGGGTTGTGATAAGTACTTAATAATTTAGTACGGAGATGAATAGGTACAAAAAAACGGCCATTAGGTTTCTCTGGAGGAGCATTACTTTGTGCAGCCAGAATCTCCTCGCCTAGGTGTGAGGTGAGGCTAGTACGGATGGTGGCCAGTATATGATCCGGAGGAATCACAGGAGTAGGGGTTATCTCCTCTCTAGATGGAGGGGAGAACTGTCGAGACAAGGCATCAGCCTGAATGTTTTTAGTACCGGGCAAGTAAGAAACCACATAATTGAATCTTGATAGGAAGAGAGCCCATCTAGCTTGCCTGGGGGAAAGTCGCTTAGCTTCGGAAAGATATGTCAGATTCTTGTGGTCTGTGAGGATGAGAATTGGCACTGAAGTACCCTCAAGAAGGTGCCTCCATTCTTTGAGAGCTAATATTATGGCTAGAAGTTCTCTATCACCAATCTGGTAATTGCATTCCACCGGGTTTAATTTCTTCGAGAAATACCCGCACGGATGCCTGGAGCTCTCTGGGTTAGGACGTTGAGACAGGAGGGCGCCTACTCCTGTCTCAGATGCATCGACTTCAAGAATGAATGGTAAGGCAGGGTTAGGGTGTGCCAGTATAGGAGCAGCAGCAAAGGCGACTTTGAGAGACTCAAAGGCAGAAATGGCTTCCTGTGACCAATGCTGTGGATCAGCATCTCTCCTGGTCATATCCATGAGTGGTTTAACCAAGGAGGAAAAGTTGCGTATGAACTACCGATAATAATTGGCGAAGCCAAGAAAACGCTGTATAGAGCGAAGACCCGTAGGTCGAGGCCATTTTAGTACAGCAGAAAGTTTTTCTGGGTCCATAGAGAATCCAGCATCAGAGATAACATAGCCCAAGAATGTGACCTGTTTGCAATTGAACTCATATTTCTCCAATTTACAGAACAGATTATTTTCTCTAAGTCTCTGTAGAACACTAGAAACGTCTGCGTGGTTGTTCTCGAGAGATGTGGAATGGATAAGAATATCATCAAGATAAACCACCACACATTGCTGCAGCATATCTCACAGGACGTCATTTATAAATTCCTGGAAAACCGCCGGAGCGTTACAAAGACCAAAGGGCATTACTAGGTATTCGTAATGCCCGCTCCTGGTGTTAAATGCGGTTTTCCATTCGTGGCCCTCTTTTATCCGGACGAGATTATATGCCCCTCTCAGATCAAGTTTAGTGAAGACCGTTCCCTTGAGGCGGTCAAATAACTCAGTGATCAATGGAATGGGGTAGGCATTCTTAATAGTAATGCGATTGAGACCCCTATAGTCGATACAGGGTCTCAACTCACCACTCTTCTTTTTCACAAAGAAAAAGCCGGCCCCGGCAGGAGAAGATGATTTCTGAATGAATCCCTTTGACAACGCATCAGTAACATACTCCTCCATGGCTCGATTCTCTGCTACAGACAGCGGGTAAACCCGTCCACGGGGAGGATTGGCACCAGGTTGGAGTTCGATACCACAGTCATACGGACGGTGTGGTGGCAGAACGCTAGCTTGACCTTTGTCAAATACATCTTGGAATTCTTGGTACTCAGCGGGTAAGGAAGAGGCAGAAATTGTGCCCAAAACTTTGACCGGTTTCTGGAGACAGGAAAATGTGCATTGCTGGGACCAAGATAATAGATTTGCGCCAATCAATTGTGGGGTTATGCTTCTGTAGCCAAGGGTATCCCAAAACAACTTGGTAGTATGGAGAGGAAATGACCTGGAATTGGATCATCTCATGATGTAGAGCCCCTACAGCCAGAGATATGGGCACGGTTTCCTGGGTCACGAGGGCTGGCTGTATAGGTCGGCCATCGATGGCTTCGAAAGCTAGTGGGGAGTTGCGAGGCTGTAAGGGTATAGAGTGCACTGATGCAAATGCACAATCTATAAACAAGCCTGCGGCCCCAGAATCAAGAAATGCCCGGGTTTTAATGGATGACTCCGGCCAGGAGAGGATTATAGGCACCAAGGGTTTGTCCTTTTTTATCTCTGGGTCTGCAGAAAGACCCCCCAAGATCTGCCCCTGACAGTATCTTGGGTACGGGCCCTTTACCGGACGAATCAGGCAAAACTTTAATATGTGACCGTGGTGTCCGCAGTATAGGCACAGGCCCTCCCTCCTCCTAAAGGCTTTCTCCTCGACAGAGAGGCGTGAGAAGCCTAACCGCCTCGGCTCCACACCGACAGAGGACTCAGGACCAGGAGGCATGGGAGGTGAGGGAGGTTTGGGTGGGCAGGAAAAGCTCGGTGCCAAACATACTGGAGGCCTCCGCAGGCGCTCCCTGAATGAGGATCTCTCTCGGAGTCTGATGTCAATGAGGGTGACAAATGATATCAGTTCCTCGAGATCTTTAGGTAATTCTCTGCCTGCAATCTCATTTTTCATTACATCGGATAGCCCCTGTGCAAAGGCAGCCACAAGAATCTCGTTATTCCAGCCACCCTCTGCTGCCAAGGTACGGAATTCACTGGCATACTTAACAATAGTTTTCGTGCCCTGAGTATTAGACATGAGTTGTTTGGCAGTAGGGGTGGAGCGAGCTGGAATATCAAAAACCCTTTTAAAGGACGCAACAAATTCAGGGTAATTGTAAATGATGGGCCTCTCTGCCTCCCAGAGAGGTTTTGCCCAAGCTAGGGCTTTTTCAGACAGCAAAGAAATCATGAACTGGACTTTGTCGCTGTCTGTAGGAAATGCCTGGGGCAGCAATTCAAGGTATCCTTTAACCTGATTTATAAATTATTTGCACTGAGCTGGGTTGCCCCCAAAATACTGAGGGAGCGGGACAGACCCAGTCATTCCTCTAGC